ATGAGTTTTACCTCAATAAAAAGAAAAAAACGTGGGCCAGCAGATGGCATGGAGGTTAAGGTGGCTGGATCTCACATACTGACTGCCCGGTTCGAGTCTCTGACCCAGCTGCTTGAAAATTAGGCTGGTTGCAAGTGCATGTGTGTCTAAGATACCAAGAGGAAAATGGAGAAGGGACTGCCATGTGGCCATTCCCCCGGAGGATGACTTCTCGCTTTCCCTCTCTCCCACGGTCTCTCTCTGACCAGCACATGCCCTATTGCAAGGTTGGAAAAAGAAAGGAAAAAAAGACTGGCTGAAAATATCTAATCTCCCTACCCAACCCAAGGCCTTAAATTTGAGCCTCTAAATTGGCCAGACAAGGGCCCCTGTTCACCAAAACTCAAGACCACACAAGGACCTCAGGACGCATCAGTTCCCCTCCAGCCCATAGTCTCACACTTACCTCCTGCTAGCGTTGCCACCTTACACGTCAGCAGCCTTGCTTAAATGTCCCCAAACAAGTCCTGAGAAAGCTCTTCCCTCTGCCACCCTCCAATCGCCTCCTTCCTGATGGGTGTGTCAAATTCCTCTTAGCTTATCATGCTCAGGCTTCACTATCACCCCTTCCAAGAGGCCCTCTCTGGCCTGCCTTGGGGAGAATTCATTCCTCCTAGAACTTGTCTACACAGTACAAGGTCTTGCCAGGCTGTCTGGGTTCGCATCCAGGAACCCCAAGCCCAGTCATGACTTTGGAGCCTCAGTTTTCCCATCTATAAAAAGAACACTGATATTTCTTCCTCACAGGGCTCTTGGGAAGATTAAATGAATCCATTTATGAAAAGTACCCAGAGCGGCACGGGACAGCAAGCTCTCGTGCGTGCGTGTTAGCTGTTACTAACGTGTGCGGCGTCACTGTATTGTCACAGCCCACGGTTCTTGTCTGTCTTCCTGACTCTGTATGGGCTCCCTAAGGACAGGAACTGAAAATGTTAAAATCTGCATCCCCAGCACCTAGAACTAGGCTCAAAAGTCGGGGTGCTTCCTGGTACAACCCAGCAGCCAAACTGGACTGGACATTGGTTCCCTGGGTTCTAGTCTGTTCTGTGGCCAATAACAGAAAAGCCTGCATCTGTATAATTCAAAAGAGCAAGCATTCATTCAGGCCAGGGTGTGAGGGTCCAAGGGCAGGGGTGGGGTCTTCTCACTGGGTAACCCGGTGGGAGGCAGGAGCTTGAGCAGCGCGTGCGTCTGCCTGCCTCACTCCCTCTCCCTACGACCCCACCAGGACTCAATCATGCCCCACCCAAAGGCCCATCTTTCAACCTGATCTGATTAAGTCCTCACCTGGGCAGCACCCTTACGACGGCTCCCCAGGTTTTAACCCGTGGATTTCTGGGGGACACAGAGCCCTAGCACCCTGATATGAGACACTCAGTGCCAAGTCCGGGAAAGCCGCAGACAAATCAGAACAAGCTGTCACCCAACGCTCGTCTAACGGGAAGGAAGTGTAAGGACACGAGAGCCACCTGAACGGCTTCCAGATCTGAGAACAGAACCAAGTGCGAGGTGCTTATCCCGACAGCCCCGACTGAGAACTGTGGTGCAGGGTTTTTGTTCTGTTTTGTTTTAACTTTGCCACAAGGTGTCTGTACTTGCCAGAAAGAGAGAGAAAGAGAGGATAGGAAAGTGAGAAATCACCTCCCTTGGGGCATGGCCACGACTCAATCCCCTCTCCTCCACCTCTCCCTGCTCCAGGGACCCTGCACAAGCAGGCACACACCCTGGTATGCTTTCCAAGCTGCTGGGTCTGGGACTTGGACGGTTCAGCCGGCCATCCGGGATCCAGCCGCCTTGACCACCACGCCACCAGCTGGCCTGGGGATGCAGTTTTTAAACAAAGAGGCTCACATAATGACACGCCTCAGGACAGATGGCCTCGCAGTCCTGTTCGAGGCAACGAGAGGAGGCACGGTCCAAACGCCAAGGCCCACCACGGACCCTCCCGAACTGGAATCGCTTCACTGAGTCTGGAATCCCTGTTTCCTCCAGGGTTCCTGGGGGCAGGGGGAGGTGATGTTTCTCAACAGGGCACGTTGGGATGTCCAGGCAGGAGATCGAGATATGGGTGGAAGGGACACGTGCAGGCACGCAGGCACGGACAAGATAAAGGCAGCAAAGAACAGATGCCACCATCTCCAAAACATGAGGGCTTCGTTTTTCCTCCTGGACACGAGTGGGTGGCGCTGTGAAGGTCTCCTAGCTCTGCAGGAGGGACCCCAGGTTTTGTAACAGGCACTGCAGGCCTAGGGCTGATCATGGCAGAAACAGAAGGGAGCTTTCTTCAACTCTGTTATCCACTCATAATCTGGAACCTCGAGCACGGTTCTCAGCCACCAGCCATCGAACGCAGGAACTGTCACTCCACGCTCGTGGAGTGGCCCTGTAGCCAGTTATTCAATAGGGACAAGGTGTCACCCACTCCCCAGAAATGATACTATTTTGAGGGATGTCAAGTAAGTTCCGAGGCTCCCACCCGACGTCACCAGAGGCTGTGACAGCAGCAGCTCCTGCTGCCCTGTGAGAGGAGAGGGAACAGGGCTGGCACCATGCCCGGTAGCCCTGCCCACAGCAAGGGAGGCCTTCAAGGAGTCTTGAAGGACCAGCACCCTTTAAAATGCTCACGTCACGGAAAGCCACGTCTGAGAACTGCCACAGGCCAGAGGGACAGGGTGAAGCGTAGGGTCTAATGACACTGCAGGATCCCGATGGGACCCTGGGGCAGGAAGGGGGCAGCAGTGAGGACGGTGAACAGCAAGGCACCCGGCAGATTCTCGGGTGTTCCCTGGTGGGTCAGGCGTTCACGATGGAGGAGGCTGAGAAAGGCACACGGTAAGACTCTGCAGGAGCCTTGCAGGTTTTCTGTAAATCTAAAGCTATTCTAAAATAAAGGTTTACTAAACACACACAATGGACGGATGCCACCGTATGGTTTTCACCCACCTGGACAACAAAAGGGCTGGCCTGGATGGAGGATCTCAGGCTCACGCATCACACAAGCAAGCGTCCCCCGAAATCTGATAGGCGCGAGTCCTTCGGCCCAGCAATCCCTCCTCTGGGCGTCTGTAATGGAGATAACCGCAGACGCAGGGGGAAAGGCACGATCACAAGCCTACAGGCCGCTCCCTACAGCTCTGCTAGAAACAGAAGACCGAAAGGCCGAGCTGTCCTGGTGGCTCAGGGCCCATCCCCACGAGAAAATGGGACGTGGCTGTCGAAAGAGAATGAGGAAGAGCCTGTGTGCGAAAACCGATCATGGAGATAGACTGTCACGTGGAAGTCAGGACAGTGCCCGCCACCACGCGAAGGGGGACAGACACGCTTCCTTACATAATACACACGCCACATGCCAGAGGCCTGTAGGAACGGGCGGTGGGCTGGGATGCAGCCGCACAGACAGTTCTCCGTTAAGCCCTCCTGATCTGCTGGCTAAGCCACAGCAACGTTACGGGCTCAAAGATGAAATGAAATCGCTATCGTTTTTAAATTCATTTCTTTCTTCTATGAGAGAGACAGAGAGACAGGTGCCCTCGCCAAGGTCTTCACGCCACAATCCACCCTCGGTCTCAGCCAGCCCGGGTCACAGGCATGTGCAAGTGTGCCCGTGTCCTAAGGCAGGCCCCGGGACGTGAACCTCAGACCTTCCCCACATGGGTCCACTTATCTGCACTACCATCTGGCCCCCTCTCTTTATTTATTTATTTTTTTTTTGAGAGATTTTCACTGTAGGGCGCGTGCGCTCGCCAGACAGACAGAGAGAGACAGAGAAACAGAAAGCGAGAAATCACCCCCCACGGGGGATGGTCATGCCGCAATCCCTTCTCCATTCTCCTCTCGGGATCTTGGGCACGCACGCACACGCGCCCGGCATGAGTTTTAAGCCACCGGGTCCGGGACACGAACCGCGGTCGACTATGTGGGAGTCCAGCGACATAGCCATTACACTAACTGCTGGTTCCCCCCTCTCTTTATTTTTAAATGAAAAAAATCTGCAAACCTGTCTCTGCTCTCTCCAGGCCTCCTTCCCATCTATGGTAAAAGTGACATCATCACAGCTTTGTCCTGTGAACTGTGTCCCACCTCCCCACGCAGCATCTGGCTCTCGATCCCCCCGTCTCCTGGCATGTATTTGGAGAAAAGATGCTCCCTCTACCCTTTCCACGAGAGCATCCCCCAAATTTGTGGTAACGTCATTCTACTTATCAATACAATTCTTTTTGGGTTTTTTTTTGTTGTTTGTTTGGTTTTTTTTTTTTGCATATTATCTGTTTTTCATCCAGGAAGTCCTGAAGGTCAGTGGTGGGCAAGGGCTTGGGAGGCACAGACCCTCTTTGGCTGGCCTTAGGGCACCATGTGGGAAGGCAGGGAAGACATGGGAGGAGGCACAAAGGGGAAACCGAGGACAGTTTCTAGGAGTGAGTGGAGGATCTGGGGACAGGCCAAGGGGAGCACACCTGTGTTCGCAGGGCAGCTGAACTGTGGCTGGCCAGGAGGGTGGGCCCGTGTTACAGGAGCCTTCATACCACACCAGGGGGGGCAGCAGGCTGGGCCTCCTGGGGACCCCACACGTGGGTCCTGGTTCAACAACTAGCAGCCCAGAGCAACTTGAAAACCCCCAAATGTATTCAACTCCTGCCAAGAAGAATTCACATTCTAAAAATAAGCCTCAAAACCCCAAATACCAGAGAAACCACCCACAGCAGAAGCCACCCAATGACTCCCTGTCAGTGTAAACACACATCAAAGACGCAGCAGCCCACAGCCAAGGGTATCTTCCCAGAGAGATCACAAAAACCACGTCTCCACGCAGCCCAAGTCCCACTCTCCGGAACGCTGCAGTGGCTCCCTTCTGACCCACAGCCTCTCGAAACACCCCGCCTGAAATGGTATCTTAAATTTTTTTCTGAGGTCGAGCCCATATTTGTCTTCTTAAAGTCTGCAAAAACAAAAACAAAACAAACCTGAAACAGAAGAAAACGCCGTGTGCCTGAGGCTAGCCCAGAGTCCAGCCTGCGCTGACGGAAGCCTGTCCCACCCCAACACGGGGCGTCAGGGCTTCGGAGGACTTGGGCACCAGCAGGCCTGCGTGTGTAAGAGTTAATCATTATTCCTGTGGGTGCCTCCTGTGAGTCAGGCAAATAAGCTTGGGCATCTGGTCTGAAGATAAGTATCTCAGTCCTTGGGAGCCTCATATTTGCTTACGTCCTCGGTCCTGGCCAGGTTCCAGAGGACTCCAGGTAGTCTGTCATGTCTTTGAAAATAAGGGGGCTTGGGACCAGCAGATGGCGAAATGGCCACATCACTGGACTCCCAAGTAGTCAACCGGGGTTCAAGTCCCAGACCCGGTGGCTTAAACTCACACCGGGCACATGTGTGTGTGTGCCCAAGATCTTGAGAGGAGAATGGAGAAGAAGGGACTGTGGCGTGGCCATTCCCCCTGGGGGTGATTCCTCACTTTCTGTCTCTGTCTTTCTGGCGAGTGCACGCACCCTATAGAAAAACCTCTCAAAAAAAAAAAAAGAAAAAGGAAAAGAAAAAATAAGACAAGAAGATGGTTTCCCCACTAACGCAGTTGCCAGATGCTGTGCCTGAGCACAGTGCACATCCCACCCCGGGTAACTTGAAAATACAGTGGGTAGGCTTGGGTGTGCACCACAAATCTCGATGGGAATGGAGAAATGGAAAAAAGGAAGACGGTGCGGCCAAACCTCATTGGGAAGCGCTTTTTCCGCCTCTCTCTGGCCAGTCCAAGCGCCCTTAGCAAGACTTCAGGACCACATGAGCGCAGGGTAAATGTCACCTACTGAGTTCTTCCTCTAACCCATCCCACACAACCCAGCCCTCGATGACAAATGCCTTCCTCGGTGTCCTAATTGCTTCCCGTCTGCAAGTTAGGTCAATTCCCTGCCTGGACTGCACTGTGCTCCCCCAGGGAGGGCGTTCTCTGAACTGCTCTGGATCCCTCTGGGCTGGGGAAAGCAGGACCCTGTGACTTCCTCCCAGAGCTGAGGCTGCTGTCCCCACACCACAGGCAGACAAGGACCTCCCAAACATTCATGGCTACACGCTATGGAAGGGCTACGCATGGATTTCTGATTTTTTTTTTGCATCAAAATAAACTCTTTCCATGAACTTTTTGAAGTTCTCCCCATACACAACAGAAGTATCTAAGGCGCAAGGTGTTTAAAAGTGTCTATGGTTGGGACCAACAGTTGGCATAACGGCTACGTCACTGGACTCCCATGTAGTCATCTACAGTTCGAGTCCCGGGCCCAGTGGCTTAAACTCACACCAGGCGCGTGTGTATGCATGCCCAAGATCCCAAAAGGAGAACAGAGAAGGGATTGTGGCATGGCCATCCTCCCAGGGGGGGGTGATTTCTCTCTTTCTGTCTCTCTGTCTCTGTCTTTCTAAAGAGTGCTCAAATCCTATAGCAAAAACCTCTCCAAAAAATAATGTCTAAGGTTCTTCCTTTGTTTTTGTGGTTTTTTTTTTTTTAATTTGCTAAAGGGCAAGTGCACATGCCAGAGAGAGACGGAGAGAGAAAGAGAGAAGTGTACACACGTACGTACGCGCACGCGCGCACACACACACACACACACACACACACACACAGTGGGGGATGGCCACCGTGATCCCTTCTCCTCTATCTCTCCCTCTTTCCAGGATTTTGGGTAAACACGCGCACACACACACACACACACACACACACACACAGGGTGTTTCTCAAGCTGCCAGGTCTGTGTCTCAAACCACAGTGCCAACTATGTGGGATCCAGTCACCTAAACCACCAAGCCACCAACAGATGGCACAGAAGTGTCTGTGCTTCGAATGAGGGAGATAAGCAAATCTTCCTGACAGATGTAGGTACCGTTCCTCCAGGAGGTGGGACTGGACCTCTCCCCTCCCTCTGCTGGGGGCGGGCAGGAAGGACTCAGTGACTCTTCTTCAAAGAACAGAGTCTAAGAAAAGGGAAAAAGAGTCACTCTGCCCAGGATGCCACACGGAGACTATGTCCCCACTGATGTGACAGGATGAGGATGACACATCATCTCTGTGGTCTTTTCCCCAAAAACCCATAACCCAGTCTAACCATGAGAAAAACATTAGAAACCCAATTCGATGGAAACAGAAAACAAAGACTAAGAAACTGTCACAGCCACGGAGGCTGGGGAGACTCAATGACTAGACGCTGCGTGGTCCTCCGTGAACCACAAACACGCGTGAAGTTGGGCGAGTGGTGGTGCACCCACATCGGATGTCAGTCTGACAAATAACCTTGTTCTGCAGTGATACGAGATGTTCCAACGGAGAAACTGGGTGAGGAGTGTATGGGACCTCCCTGTGCTAATTCTGTACCTTTCTTGTAAATCAAAAATTATCCCAGAGTTTAAAGTTTATTCAAATGCCTCCAGGGATCACACCTCTAAATGAGTCAGACAGGTCAGGTGTAAGGGAGACTGTAAGGTGAACTGGAATGGGCAGGTCTCACCCAGAAGTATTCACGTTCAACTAAAAACATAAATATATATTGTAGGGTACTAGATGGCGGCACAGCCATAAAACTCCATGAGTCAGGTTCCACATGGGAAGGTTCCTGGTTCAAGGCTCGAGACATCCTTGAATACCACCAGGCACGTACGTGCCCGTGACCCCTGGCTAGCTGAGGTTGGGTCAAGGCTCTGATAGAGGTGCTTTCTCATTCATGGAGAAAGTAATAGTTTTTTCAAATAATTATTTTCTTTAATCTTATTAACTTATTTCAATTTGACCAGAGAGGGAAAGGAAAGCAAGTGCCACCAGATCCAGGACTTGGACTGCGGTCAGCCATGTGGGAATCCAGGACCCTTAACCACCACACCACCTGCCTACCCCATTAAAATGTATTTTATTTTTAGGGGAGCAGCAAGGTTGTGGTGGTTAAGGTGCTGGACACTCCCACATGGCCAACCATGGTTTGAGTCCCAGAGCTGGTGGCTTGCTTTCTCACTTTCCCCCTCTCTCTCTTTCTCTCTCTGATAAAATTAAAAATAAATGAATGAATAAATAAAATTAAATAATTTTTAATATATTTTATTTTTAATTTTTAAATTTTTTTCCAAATTGTCAGAGGGCAAGTGTGCTGGGGGGGAGGTGCAGGGAGAAAGCATCGCTCAGTGGGGCTGATCACACCACGACCCTTCTTCTTTCAGGATTTTGGGTACACTCATACACTCAGTGTGTTTTTCAAGCTACTGGTCTGGGACTCAAACCATGGTCAACCATGTGGGATCAGGTTCCCTTAACCACTAGGCTACAGGCCTGGCCCATGAGTTTATTTTAAAGTATTTTTAAAAGTAGATTTGGGGGACCAGCAGGTGGTGTGGAGTTTAAAGCAGCTGAGTCCCACATGGCTTATTTTGCAGCTTGAGTCCTGGACCCAGAGGCTTGAACGTCACACTGGGTATGTCTGTGAGTACCCAAAATCTCGAGAGGAGAACGGAGGCAGGGTGGTCATCCTCCCCACCCCTGGTGATTTCTTAGTCCCTTTCTCTCTCTGTCTCTGTCTCTCTCCAGAGAGTGTACACAACTCTACAGCAAAAAAAAAAATTAATTAATTAATTAATTAAAGGCAAAAATCAGGGGTGGGGGCAGACATAAAGAGGAGGATTTCTAATATTTCCAATTAGGAAGATTTTTTAAAAAAAGACATCCCATAATTTCAGTGTAAGTGCAGATTTTGAAGGAATCTCCCAAACTCCTCCAGCTTAACACACATTTTCGCCTATTCAAGATCCACACTCCTCCCTCATGATGTGGATTTCAAAACTCCCACAAAGTAGTTTTAGCCACATGTGGGTGGTAAACGCCTCTAAAAATACAACCTCATGCTGTATATAGCAGTTTCCTAGACGTAGTAGGTAGCAGACCAACACACAAAAGGGCAAAGCCTTCAGAAAAATAAAGCATCTTTTTAACCACGAACTTAATCCTCTAAGATCAATTCTTCCAGAAAGAAAAAGGAGAATCATTCAATTCCACTCTCACCCCTACCCCCCAGCCCTAGAAAAGAACTGGGAGCAGGATACCATGAATATGTATATCTCAGAAATGACCTCAGAAAAAAAGGATTCCTGAGGCCACGAAGGGCACTCACATGCAAATTGTCAGGTTCCAAAGAAAACAGCCTAGTTTGTAAACAAGATGGAGACCCCGCTGTGAAGGCCTGAAAGGTCTTCCTTTAGGGTCCCGGGAGAAAAATGCTCTTTACCACAGTCACGTGAGCGCAGAGAACTCTGCCGACAAGGACCCCTACCGCGCCACCCAAAGTGTACATTGATGAAATGGAAAGTTGTCGAATATTCTTCGTTGTCACTGGCCTTGGCCGGCAATCTTTAAAATATAGAGATCTCGCAACATTGTTCCAGTCGTCACGAATTTAACCTACCTATGAGTTCAGAAAACCTACAAAATGAATGGTGCGCCCTAACCCTACATGGGCAGGAGGGAGAATTTAGACAACCGGGAAAATTGCGACCTCCAGTCCTTCTAGGAAAAGGACTCAAGAAAATGCACTTCGGCTCCCTGACCCCAAACAAATTCAAATGCAGCATCTGTCGGTAAAATCATGGAAGCTCGTGGCGACATATTTCAGAGACATGTTCTCGAATCTCATCCTCTGTGTTCAGTTTGTTTCTGAAGGCCTGGATGTCCCACAGCCAGAGATGAAGTGAGGGCAGTCTGAAAGCCAGGTCCTCCCGCGGCCTAACTACAAGGACAGTGACTGGGAGAAGGACCTTGCTGCTCTGGGGAGGTGAGCTCTCCCTGCAATTAAAATGGGCAGTTTCCTGGGGCCAGCAGGTGGCATGGTGGTTAAGGGCACTAGAGCCCCACATGGCTGACGACGGTTCGAACCCTGGACCTGGCAGCTTGCTTTCTCATTTTCTGTCTCTCTTCTCTCTCTATTCCTCTCTGGTCAAATTAAAAAATAAATACATAAAGTTAAATAAAATAATTATTTTTTTTAATGGGCCATTTTCCTCTGAATTCTTGGTGAAACCACATCCCCGGTTTCCAAAATGG